ATTAAAAAAAAATATTTATTATACATTTAAAAAAAACAGTTTGAGAACACAAAATAAAGTTTTAAAATACAATAATAGCTTTGCTTATAATTTTATTAATAAAGGATTATATAATTAATAAAGGATTTGCTTAATTCTGCTGGTAAGGTGAAAGAGGAAGCACAATAAGTAATTCCCTTCCTCAGAAACAAAAATTTAAAAAAAATCCTAATAAATAGCAGAAACATTTACATTGTAGGGCAAAAAATAGTTATTCAGAAATAAATTCCAGGTTAAAAAAAAACATATATGAATATGGAAATTGTACGTTTTGCTTATTCTAAGTTACAAGATAGTCCAAAATCATCAAGAAAATACTATTGTAATACATGAACGGCTATTAAATGCTAGAAAAATCTTTTAAAAAATAGTATGAATCATTTATAACAAAATATAAAGTCAATCACAAAAATAAGCATATATGAGAACCTTTAATTCACCGGAAAACTTTATATATTAAAATTGAAGATCTTGGTGGACAAAACGATCTTATTAACTATTCAACATGTATTAATCAAGCCATATCTTTAAATTTCCCAGATCTCATAATATAAATATACTAAGTGATAATCTTAGAACAATTGAGAAAAGTACTCAAGAAATCCTGTATTTTGGCAGTTAATTAAAATGCCAAAACTGTGAAAGCTATGAACCAATCATTTTAAATGAGGTTTAGGGAATTATTGATTTACAATTTGAAACTTGTTGTAGATAAGGCTGAAGCATATTTCTTTCCCCCCGATTGTCAGTACATAAAAATTAAAACCAATTTACCCAAATTCAATAAAATATCACTTAGTAAAACTTGTAAAGACTAACTTGCAAGACAAAGCTATCAGCTCTGCATCATTTACAATAAGAGAAGTTTCAGAAATATTCATAATAATGAAGAATAAAGTTAATTTGGATTGTTTTCAGAAAAAGCAGAGAGCACAGTTTTAAATTTAAAAAAAAGGAAGATTATTTATTTTTAAATAGAAAGCTTATGATTTATGATGTGAAAATTTTGTTAGGTTAAAAATAAATTTTTTCTGAAATTTTTTATTTACAAAATAAATTAAATTATAAAATTTCACTGTAAAACTGTAAAAGATATATGTATGTTTATTTTTGAGACAAACTGTAAGTAACAGAATAAGTATTTTTTATAATCAGTAAAAATTCTAAATCGTTTCATGATTTGGTAAATTTTTTTTAAAATCATATTCATGAATTTTTAAGTTTAAAGTAATAAAAAACTGAACGAATACTACTGAAATTAGGAGATAAAGTAATAATGAAATAAATGATGATATGTATTTTTTTTATCCAGTACAATATAGCAAAAACATTTATATAGTTGCAAATGAATATGAACAATAGACATTTTACATTTTTAACTTGATTAATACTAACTGTTCAAACTTTCACAATGCATACAAATGAAATCAGGGAAAAATTATTCAAAAAAAGTTAATATAAATAAAAAGAATATGTAAAAAATCATTATAATGTACAGGTATAGAAAATACTATAATTAATAAAATTAAGCAACAGTAAGATATTTTAAATCCTTCAAAAATAAAAATATGAAATATACCAATATTTTATTTTAAGGAAGAGAAAATATTGCAAATTACTATTTGCAACACACATAGTTTGCACACATTAAATCTGCAAACACAAACAAAAATCTCTCTAGCTATTAACCATAAAACCAAATGCCAGGGCAACACCTTTTTAAGTAGTTAAAGATAGATGAATGATAGAGACAGATACAGATAAAGTCTTGAACATACAACATATTGTATGATTTATATACAATGAAAACAAAATAATGTTTTAAATGGTATAATGATTTTATAGATTGGCACTCTGTTTCAACATTTGTTATCACCACTTAATTATGCAACAAGTAATATAAAGCTTTTATTAACTGCATTTTAAATGACAGAAGATAGGAAATGTCTAACATACTTTAGATATTGAACACAGAAATACCCTCCCAACTATAACAACTAGATTGTCAAATAACACAACTCATGATACTGCATTTTTCTTACAACACATTTTTTCAACCTTTCAATAAAGAGACTTTGAAAATTATAGAGAACCTGCCTGGTACAAAGCTTGAAAAATTCCATTAAAAAAATATTGAGAGCAAGCTTAGGAGTCAAACTATGGGGGGTGGGCGGAATTTCTATTGAAAATTAGAGTGCTCATATCCAGCAGCAAAACTAAGGCAAGAAATTTTACTATCAATAAAAATTAGAGTGCTCATATCCAGCAGCAAAACTAAGGTAAGAAAGTTTACTATCAATAAAAATAAGAGTGCTCATATCCAGCAGCAAAACTAAGGCAAGAAATTTTACTATCAATGAAAATTAGAGTGCTCATATCCAGCAGCAAAACAAAGGCAAGAAAGTTTACTATCAATGAAAATTAGAGTGATCATATCCAGAAACTTTTCTATGAACAATTACAGTGAGCATATAAAGTAAGCAAATTTAGACAAGGAAGCTCTCTATCAAAAATTAGAGTGATCAGTTACGGCAGCAAAACTTAAGGAAGAAAATTATCTATCAAAAATTAAAACAAGCATGTTCAGGATGCAAACTAAGACAAGGATATTCTTTATCGAGGTAAAAAAAAAAAACAGAGTAATCATCATATCTGAAAAAAAAATATATACAGTAGGGAACAAATTATCCGGAACGATTGGGACTATCCCTATTCCGGATAACTGATTTTTCCGGTTTTCAGAATCGCTACAAAAAGCCGTTTTTTTTTATTGCTAAACCCAACAAAAAAAATTAATATTTGAAAATAATCTTAAAAATAAGAAAAAACGATGAAGTAATACACTAATGATTATTTCTAAAATGATGGTAAGGTAAGCATCTTTCAAAAAAGAAAGAAAAATCCTAAAATCTTATGAGGAAAAAAATTTTTTTTTTTAAAGAATGGCCTGGAAAATTTATCAAATTTCGTTCCGGTTTTTTGGTTTTCTGATTTCCGGATACCGGGTTCTGTACTGTATAAATTTTTAAAAAAAAATTAAATACAGTAAAAAGAGAAAACAAAGACTCTTTGTCAAGGTTTAGACTGCAAGTATCTAACAGGGATAAAGAAAATAACAGATTATGTTTGGAATAAATTGAGTTTAAACCCAGCTTTTCATGAACTCAAAGTTAGTGGCTTTCTAACCACTAAAACCTCAGTTTCTCATAGGTTATAATATGAGAACAGGTATTTGAGAGAAATTATTACAATTTTACCTACTATCCAAGCACTTAGGGGGCAAAAACTTGTTTTATTTCCCCCTTGTTTTCCGTAAAACTCTAAAAGCAAAATGATTTTGAAGCCATAAGTACTTGTCAATTTTTTAAACTCTTCAAAGAACAAAACAAGTACAAATGTTAATACTGTATAACAATACTGTAGAAGAATAACCAAGTTATATATCATATGTTCAGAGAAAATTACAGATTGTTTGAAAAATAATGAACCGAAGAAACTGAAATAACAGAAGAATTGAATGGCTTACTCCGTTATGCAGAAGAAAACAAAAATTTATTCACACCAAGTTTCCTAATCAGTTACAAAGTTTGTTAACAGGTGACACTGCTGACTAGAAATGTTTTCTGGTGCATACGGAATCATTCCAATTGAGATATTTACAGAGGTGTTTGTTAATTTTGTTAGACTGCACCACATTGTTACTGCAAATGGCTGTTTGTTTAAGAAGTATTATTTTAAGGTTTTTTTCATTTTGCCCCCTCTGTTGATGAACTTGGTAGCTAATTTTAAACTTGGTGAGGAATAAAAACCCTAGTGACCAAAGCAGAATGGTCAATTTATTCGATTAGGTCAATTTTAGGATATCTGAACAGAGTAATAGGAATTCTTATTTATTTACTCCCAATATAAAGTTTTTCCTACGATAACTTTTGAAAATTTTTTTAACTAATTTTTAGGTTCTTGTTCTGTTTTAATTAGGAAAAGTTTTACTTTTTTACATTTTTTTTTATTTTTAACATTTCTAATTTATTAATTTACGCATCACAATCTTTAATGCATTTTATGCATTAAAGATTGAAATGGTTAATGCAGCTAAGTATAAAAAATTTATTTAATATTTCAAATACTAAACCTTTAAAACAAAAAAAATACTTGCAAATTTTATTCACACAAAAATGTACAGTTCATAGTTTTCAATGGAATACCTGAGACTTTTGACAACTTATGAACCATTTATAAAAAAAAGTTGAAGAGAGCAATAACTTCCAACTTTAATCAAACTATTATGATGTAGAAAGTATAAATAAAAAGTAATAAACAAAAACTACCCTAAGAGTAAATCATACGATTAGCATAAAAATGTTTTTAGACATTTGTATTATTTTTAAAAACAAAATAAACTCAGAAATGAGTGATAATTCCCACCAAACTACAATTATAATTATGCAAAAAAATGAACCAATAAAGTAAATAAATAGATGAAAAGTAATTGAATTATCTTACAGTAATTATATTTCAAAAAGAAATTTTTACCCTGACAGCTTTAACTGAAGTTTAAAAAAAATGATCAATAGTTTATAGATAAAAATTAGCTTAAATTATGTTTTTCAAATTAGCAAAATTATTGGTAATAAAGAGAAGTCACTGATATCTCTTTAATAGTACCTAACTGGAAATATATATTTTTTATTCACAACAATTATATGAATATGAAGTTTTTATTTCAAATAATGTTATGAATGCACAGGTTTTTCACACGACTAACTAAATTGCAATAATAATAATACAGAAGAATAAATCAAAACCAGAAAAACAGGATTATACAAAGAAAGCATAAAAAAAAGAATGGAATAATAAATAATTCAGATGTAAATAAATAAGAAAAAAGTTGACAAAATAATTTGGAACATAAAATGGTTAGCCTTTAATTTTAAAGTTGAACAATTCTTCTTTTTTTAAAAAAAACTTCTTAAAGATACATAAACTATTAATATTATATTAACACTAGAAAGACTGTCTGAACGGGCCAGTCTAGCCTTTCTCTGATTGTTTGTGAGTAGTTCTATTCGACATTGAAAAAATCTTAAAATATAATTATAATTAATTTAATAAGAAATATATTTGACTCGGTTATCAAAAATCTATGGTAATTAATTTGATTTAACGAGGGAAAATATTTGATTAAATGGAACACCGATTTATCAATTATACTCATACAATAGTTTCTTAAATAATTGAGTTTCCTTCTATACATAAATAATAATTGAAGATAGGTCGAAATACTTGTATCTTTCTTTTAAAAATAAAATTGGGGTACCTTATACCTACAAAAGAGGAACCTTGCACCAAAACCTACCTGGAGTTATGCTGTACGAAACAAAATACCATAGGGGTTACTCCGACCTCTCCCATTATTCTAAGTATAAGGTTCATATATATATGCTCCTGTAAGGATAACGCATACGGATTAAATAGGCACATAAATTGGATCAAATTATAAAAAGTCAGAAATACTCAATATTTTCAGTAAGTTATATTTTGAATTACAAAACAATAAAAAACACAAAGGGGCTAAAATGGCACCAGCCGCCCTTCTAGCGTTAATGGTGAGTGATATGAGATAATGATCTAGATAAATAAGCCAAACAGTAAAAAGAAAAGAAGAAAACATTTTCTTTTAACAATTGATACTCCAGACTTCTTTTTGTTTTGTTTTGTTATTGCCATGATTTAGAATTTATGCATTGATTTTAACATCAATGTATTCTGATTTTTAGAATACAATTAGTATATTTCTTTAAAATTCATAATTAATTTTATAATATTAAGGCAAGCATATGTATTTAATAAGCAAATGAACAATTAACTAATACAGAATAAAAACCTTCATTTATTTACCTTAAGTAAAAGCAAACACTTGAAACATTTATTTTATGGTAGACTTCATAAAATGCGAGAAAAAAATTACTATATTAGTTTAAAAACTATTTACTTTTTACCAAAAAACAAACACAAATAAAAAAAAATTTAAAATAACTTGAACACATTAATCAACATAACATTGAATTGATAGTTGTTTTTTATTAATTGAAGATTTATAATTATGTCTCTTTTCATCACTTTGATATACAATATTAAAGCAATTAGTTTCATCAGCTTACTCTTACTAATTAAGAATTAATGAGTAAATTTATTCAATTGAAATGCTCAAAAATGCTGTGGAAAAGGATTATAAACTGAGTTTGAACTTAAAAGGTAATTCTGTCAAAGAATTATCAAAAGATTTTTAAAAAATTCTAGAGGAAATTAAAAATTATAAACTCCCAAAATGGATAAAAATCAAGATAATTAGTCAAAACTTAACTTCTCTGATATAGAAATTACAGAAAAACTGAAATGGTTGAAAATACTGTTTTAATACATACTTAATTATATTTTTTATATGATTTTAGGAACATGTTCAAAATTATTAAATTCAAAATGCTTCAAGAACTTCATTACAATAAGAAAATATGCAACAAAACTTTTTTAGTTCAGAATTTGCAAAGTTTATATTATTAATGCACGCTAAATTGGCAGGAATCATTTGGACAGAGGTATAAATTTTAACTATAATGGCAAGAAGAAAAATATTTTAAAAACTATAATCTCTACAATATGAAAGAAGAATAGTTTTTAGAAAATTTCAAACACTTGTGCATATTAATGGCAAGTTTTTAAAAATCTATTTTAATAAAAAAACTAAAGACAACCAAAATATATATTAGTTGCACTTGAAGCTTTCTACCTATTATTAAAATGTAGACAATGTAGATATTATAAGTTTCATGGTTAAAATTAAATGTTTGATAAATTAGAATGGCCTAGTTCTAAAACTAAAATACCTACTACTCTAACAATTGATTAGCATGTATAGCAATATATTTTAAACAAAGCAAAAGAGCAGCAATGCATAAATATAATGGTTGTTAAAATTATCAATCACAAGTGAAATTAAACATTTGGCTTATTGTTGTTAGAGACAATAAGACTGTAACAACAAGCAATTACAATGAGCAATTACAAAATAAATTATGACAAAAAAGTTAAATTATTAATAATAATAATAAAGAAATACTATGACTTAATAAAGCTTCCAATGAAAGTTTACTGTTTATTTTTAAGCATAACTTAAACATGTCATAATCTTTTAATACACTGGACTTAGAATACTACAGTAATTTTTAAATAACATTATTTCATAGGTTAATTTCTTTGTACAGTTTTATTACAATTTTATAAACTTTAGATTCAGAAAAAATACTTTCTTGCCATATTAGTAAGCAATATATAAATTTGTAATGTTAGAAGACTCTCTCTTTGTCATTTGGTAAAATATAACTAGACAAGGACTTTAGCTCTGGAAGTTCCCTGTGAAGAAAAAATAATAATTTATTATTGAAATGAATACCATTTTCTTAACAGAAAGTATAATGAACAATAACAAATTACACAAATAGTGTTTCAGATAGTTGAAAAATTCTGCAAAATCCTGTCCCTGTTCTTTTGGTTTTGTAGTCATAGACCCAGGAGCAAAATGACCTTTTGATAATTTTCATAATGACTTGGGCATAAACAGTTCTGCAGGGAAGTGGATGTAATAGTTTAGAAGGGATTGTGATTATCTTGTGGTAACTCGTGTGCTCAGTACTCATATCAGCTAACATTGTTTTAGTTTAATGCTGATTTAGGGGTGAAGGAATTTAGATGAAGCAATAAAGAAGCGATTTTTCCTGATGAGTGTTTAATTCTCAACTTATCAGTTTTATGATTCTAAAACTAATAAATCATCAAAAATTGTCAAGGGCGAGAAATATCTCAAAAAACAAAAATTGGCTTTAGCATTTAATAATTAAAAATATATATAAATATTAATGTCAGGCACAAATTTTAGCGAAGTAAGACATCTTATTTAAAAGAAATTTCTTACCTTTTACCAATGAAAATTTATTCATAGTATCTTTGCTGACAATAATTATCTTTTGAATCAAATAATTTTCTTGCAATATATATACGTTACTTCCATTGATACCATAATATCTGAATTTATCTCCAACAATGTAATGAAATTCTTTACAAATTTATACCAGGCCATCACACTTAAACTTGGGAAGAAGAAAAACTGTGATGATATTAAGCTGAAACTTTTTTCCTCCTCCTACTTTCCTGATGATTACATCACATTTATCTCTGCAAACGCAAGTACAACCTAAACATCACAACAGGTGCAGGAACATAATAAATCAGTTCACAAAAACTTGACACTATTCCATTTGGGGTTTATCTAAAAGGTACAAATAGAGTTTGGGTTATAATTACGGCGGAAATGAAAGCATAAGCTAAATATTGAGGCAATAGGTGTTTTTTACTATCTCTGAAAGTATAATAAAAAATAAAAAATTTCACATATGTAAAACTTGTTTATCTGAAAATAACTCCTTAGAAAAAAAAATTTGATGGAGTTATGTATTACGATAGAAAACAAATCTCATAACTGTGCACCAAAATTTATTTGCTTAAATAGCTCAAAAGATATGGGATAGTACAAAAAAGGTAATTTTAATTTTTGTTGTAATTTTTTTTAGTTATAATCAAAATAGAAGTTTTCAAACTTTTATATTTGCTATAACTTTTAAGTTATAACAAATTAAGTTGTACAAAAAAAAGTTAAGATTTTTTTTTCGTATCCAATTATTATTATGTTTTTGTGACTGATTTCAATGCCTAAAATTTATATATAATTTATGAGCTTATTTAAGGTCTGCTCCTTCAGCCATTAGAATTGCATATTACATGAAAACCTGAACATTAGATCAAAAGTTACAAATTACTAACAAAGCATTACCTCATTTTAGAACCACAGTATCAATATTGGCAACATCACAGTTATTCAAGTTACTAGAAAAATCAGACTTGAAGTTGTCAAATCCTTTCATTTCTAACTGGCATTGGCAAGAAGAACAACTTTTTTGATCTATTTCTGTGCTTGGAATTTGTCCACTGTCAGTTTGATCAAGGGTTTGCTTATGACACTCACACGAGCATGGAGAGAAATTAGTTTCAAACGGCTGATATGGATCAGAAACTTTTTGGGGTATTTGATCATTCAAATCTGTACTAAATTCAAATTCTTTGATAGAACTAAAATTGTCACTAAATCTATTATTATTATCTGAGCATGCAAAACCAGACTCAAAAGCTGCCCAATTAGGATCAGAGTCTGTGAATGGCACATTTTCAGATGGAAAATTAGCACCCTCAAATGGGGAAAATAAGCTTTCACCGTCATCAATATCATTTCGCTTGTACATTCGTGGACTAAGTCCTTTTTCACAAAAGTCACTCCAACTTTTAACAGCAGATTTTTTAGGACTTTTGACTCGTCCCAGGAACTGCTCTCCTGGTAAGGACAACTTTATTTTCTCAACATTAATTTGAGATGTTGGAGATGCTGAGTGGATGAAAGCCTCCAACGTTGCTGCATTTATAGGAGTTGTGCTGCGCGGTCTGTCAATAGGCTTAGTTGTAACTTCCAGCCTCTGTTGCCTGGATGGCATCAGGACTTGCTTAGAAATTTCATATGAAACAGGCTGTAAGTCAATGACTTGGTCTTCCTCTATCTCAGAAATATCAGGAGTTAAAAGTGTTTCAGCTTCGTAATCAGTTTCAGCTTCCTCTTTCTTTTCAACTTCTGATATAGAGAGAGTTTCATCTTTTTCTTCAAATGCCAATTCAGATTCTGAAGATTCTTGGTCAATATTATGCACAATAGCTTGAATGTTTTCAGTTTTTGATACTTTATCAAGCTGCTTAAACTCTGGTTGAGACAGAATATTATATTCTTTCTCCAAAGGTTTCTCGCAGATATTTATAAGCTTGCGATTTATTTTGCGTTCATCAGGTATCCTGTCATTTTTTTCAATATTAATTTTTCCCAAATCGTTTTGTGCTTCAACTATATTAATGTTATTACTAACTTCTATGCTATTGGGCAACTCATTCTCTTTACCTTTAGGTATATTTCCATTAGTAATTTTAGGAGTAAAAATTTCTTCTGGTTCTGTTATATTAACAATCTCACTAGATATAATAAAATCATCAGGAGAAAGAGCAGTGTTTACATTTTTATTTGTTTTCTTCTTAAAAAAAGACAAAAACTTTCCTTTTTCTTTTGATTTGGATTCTGCCTGATCTTTATTTGACAATTCTTCACGGGACTTCTTTTTAAGAGTTTTATCAGATGAAGAATCACTTTTTAAATTATTCTGATTATGGCTTTTAAAGATGTCTGTCCAAGAACTTTTTCTCTGAGTATATTCTGGTTCAGGAGTTTCAATTGTTCCCAAGGAGACAGCAGAACCCTTCTTTGGCTTAACATTTAGACTACTTTCCTTTGACAGAGAAGATAATGATATAGTTCTTAATTCAGAAGACGACTGCCCTTCGTAAGGTTCACTCGGAGTAAGAGTAAAATTAGAATCAAACTCACACTCAATACGAGGAGTAGACTGTGATGATATAGTTAATGAATCGGGAGTTGTTAAATGAGCGTCGCTACTACCAGACTCATCTTCAACAGCATTAGACCTATAAATAGGATTCTCAGCAATTTCTTCAGGACTTTCCAATTCATCTGATGGTAAATCTTCAAATGAAGCAAGCGGAGCAGGTCCAGCTCTGACCTGCTTTGAAGCAAAGCTGGCCCTTTTTACAGCATCCATTGAAATTCAATTAAAACCCATAAAATATTGGCACAGAAATATTTCACAGAACTCATCTAAGACTTCTTATTCATTCATATCATATATATTATTCAACTACTATTGTACTTTTCTTTATATTCATAAGTTACTCAGCTATAATACAAAATTCGAAGTGTTTTGAATCTGTTATTAATGGGTTAGACCAAAATATGAAATAGCTATAATATGAAATTCGAACAATGTTTTGAATCTGTTATTAATGGGTCAGACCAAAATAAAATTTTGTTTTAAAGGCAAAAGAAGTTCCATCTGAAACAAATAAATTAAATTATATTGTCACAATTCTACTTTTGTAATTATTTTATCATTACAACAATCAGACAATAATTAATATTTATATAACAATACCATACACTGAACTCATCTAAAACTTCTTATTCATTCATGCCAATATTAGTCAACTACTATTGCAGTTTTCTTTATGTTCATAAGTTCATCAGCAATAATATTAAATTTGAATTGTGTTTTGAATATGTAATTAACATGTCAGACCAAAAAATTTTGATTTAAAAGCAAAAGATGTTCCATAAAAAGAAAAGAAAAATTATATTGGCACAATTTTGCTTTTGTAATTACTACAACAATCAGATATTAATATTTCAGATGTAATAATTAATAATAATTAGAGATGTAACAAATATTCGGTCACTATTTGGTATTTGGCCTATTGGACTTTTTAGCCGAATATTTGGTCAAATATTCAGCAAAATATTATTTGGAAAATTATTTTGACAAAGTTTTTTTTTGGGGAAATTTTAATAGATCTAATGAAGAATAATCTATATAAAATCATATTTTATTACTAGACATGATTAGAAATAGTTTTTACACACAATTTGTAAAGTTCTTGTTATTTTTTTTTTTTTTATTTCTTTTGTCCATTTGTATTAACATTTCATCAATTCAGGCATTTTTACAGGGCAGATTTTTTGGCTACATTTTTAAAGGCAACATATTAGGTATGACATCGTTGTTCTCACAGTAAGGACAGCTAGCACAGAGAAGGAAAGAACATCCATGTCCTGCCCAGGATTCGAACCCAGAACCTTACTGAAGCAAGACCAGTACCCTGACCCATGATATTCGGCCTCAAGAGATAGAGTTTTTTTTAGTAATTGTAAATTTTACTATTATTTTTTATTAATAAATACCTTTAAAAATGCACCTTTAAATGTTTATTTTCCCATAATTTTCAGTTTAAAATACATAAAAAAAGCTTTCAAGTTGTTTATCAATTAATCCTTTATTTCAATTTACTTTTTTTTTTCAGAAGTTTCAAACTTTTCTGTTATTTTGATACTGATTGAGAATTACTTTTTGAAATATACACATAAAATAGTAAAGAGGGTAATTTAAATATTGAGGATCAAATTCAATTATTACATAATGATACACATTTTGATAAATTTTAAGTGGTGAGTGCCCTTTTTTGTGAGGAAGCACCCTACCCTTTATTATTCCTAAGGAGAACTCCGTAACTAGTAACACAGAATACTGTACTAGAATACTGCTTACATTGAATAATGTGTTAAAATTATATTTCAGAACTAAGAACAATTTCTTTTTCGTTTCCCTTTTGATTTTTTTAATAAAATTTTCTTTCTTGAAGCAATTTTATTATGACAGTATTTTTTAAAGAGTTCTACTGAACCAAATTTTACAGCAATGTGAAAAAGTTAAATTAAGATTTTCAACATTATATCTCTTATTTAAAAATTAAGAACGATTTTTGTTTCGGTTTTTATTTAACTTTTTCTTTTTCAATATGGTAATCGGAAAACTGAAATGTTTAGCTTTAAAATTTTCTTTCAAAAAGGAGAGTATTTTAAGAGTATTTTTTTTTTTATAATGTGTATTACAAATGGGCAGAGCACATTTGAATTCATATTATTCATATTGTTTCATAATGAAAAAAAAAAAACTTTAAACTATTCTACACTTTTTCAACTGCAATATTAAAAATATAAATTTATATATATATATACATTATTTAAAAAATTTAAATAAAGTGAATAATTTTTTATACCTAATTTAGTTTTTATCACATGTTAAGTTTCAAAGAACAATAATAAGTCTAATAAACATTATTAAATTTTTTTAATTCTTAAAAAAAAAATGTAATTCAAAGTGGGCAAAAAATTTGTTTACCAAAACAGATAATTTTTTAAAATATAAATTCATTCTCCAGTTTCAAGAAATATCAGCTTTTCTAAATCTTACTAAAGAATTTATACTTACGCTTGTCAGGGTTGGCTGGTTTAAACCAGAAGGATTTTAGAAACAATCTTTTTGAATACTTAACATTCTATTATTTACATAAATACTTTCAGTTTCAAACTAAATGAATAAATAGTCAATTTTGTCATAAAAATCTTATAAAAAAAATTATAGAAGAGTTGAGATCAAAAGTTTCGTTTTTTTTTCTTTTTTTTTTTTTTTTNTTTTTTTTTTTTTTTTTTTTTTTTTTTTTTTTTTTTTTTTTTTTAATTTTCTTAAACAATATGTTATGCTTGCTACAATCAAACATAAATAGGAATGAGGTGCTTTAATGAATTGTATATATTAATATTCAATTTATTTTTATAAAAAAAAAATTTCTGATATCAGTGTAAACAAATATTTATTGTATACATATAAAGTATATTTTTATTAATGATTCGAACATTTTTGAAATACAATGCTTGTATAAAAAATCATAATTCAATTAAAATTCATTTAAAATACTATTATTTGTATACTTTTATATTTAATGCTCTACTATTTAAGCTTAAAACAATGAAGCTTTAAGCACTGTCGTGCTTAAAGCTTCATTGTATAAAAATTAATCACAAGAAAGTAGTTTATTCTTTATTTATATTTTTGAATCACAAGTACTAAAACATACCTAATACTTCATTATTTAATAAGCATGCGTACTAGTTCATTTGACATATTTTGTACTTTTCCTTATTTTTAGAAAAATTATAATAGAAAAAAATTCAGTACCTTACATTTTTCATAAAATTTTTTTAAAAAAACATGATCATTTTGATACATTTGTTGTTGTGAATTGAATACTGCTAATTAATGACATTCAATAATGACATTTTCATATACACTGACAAACAAAAAAGAACTCATTCTTTTACATTACTTACATAACAGTTTGGTGTTAAATATATATTTTTATATTAAGTTGAAATATAATGCAATGCATAATTCACATGTAACAGATTTTTTTTAATTGTTTTTTATAATATTAATTGATAATTGAAAAAGTTTTCATGATTATATTTTATAATAGGGGTTATTTCAGAAAGGATACCTGTTCATGCCAAGTACAATCATCAAGGTGGCAAAAAGATTTTAAACTTTAAGAAGCTTATACCTTTTGAGTTGATCCCCACCTATGATATTTTTTAGTTTCTCACATACAACTGCTTCAAAGCAAAGGTGCATAATATGTGCCATTGCACAAACGGGGTTCACGGAAAATAAAGGCAGCCCAGGAAATATTATTAGTCCAATTTATAAATTGCTTCAAATCCTTATATTGTTAAAAAATATGTTGCTATACGAAATTTATCCAGTTGTATAAAACCAAATAAATTTTTCAGCTTTGTTAAAGGAAAAAAAAAGTTTAAAAATATTTCAACAATATCTGTGCAAACTTTACTTTTTAAAAATGTCTCAAATAAATTTTTTGATTCTTAAAAAAAAAAAAAAAATAATAATAATAAAGAAAAAAACTATAATTTAAGAAGAAATATCAAAAAAAAAACATGTGTTCAAGGGAAATAGGCTGAGAATTTTCTGCAGCCCTATCCGAAATTTGCAAAAACTTCGCAATTATTTTGATGTATACTGACATAGAATTCTTATTTAGATAAACAGGTTCTTAAATTTAGGTGCTATACCAGTACCAGCACCTAAATTTAAGAACCAATTAGTGACACACAAAAAACATAGAAAAGGATAAACTAGGTGTTAAAATTTTATAGCCTACTTAAGAGTCAAAGATAAACTTCTTCAATTTATTTCAAAATATAAATACCCTTTGATATGAGCTTTAACCAAAAAGATTAGATTTTTGGGGACACCAAGACAAACACACACAGTTGGACCGCCTCAGTCCCCGAAAATTTCATATTTTTAATATGTGATGAATTATCTTTCTAACTTGAAAATATTTTGGGAACACCTTATACTCAAGGATACTTCCCCATCTACCCTGATGGTAGCTACACTCTTCCTGCGGAAAAGTTAATTCGATAACAAAACAACTGAAAACAGAAAATTACTTCATTTTAACTTTTTTTTAAAAAGAACTAGAAAAATAACTTCATGTATAGAATAAAAATTTAAACTTGAACAGGTGAATCAAAACACCAGAAAAATCAAAATACATATTTGAAACAATTTAAGAGAAAAAAAGCATATTCTAAACCGAAAAATATAGCCTGTATACAATATCTGATAAAATATTTAAATTATGAGTGCTTTTTCATTATTAGCAAAATATCACATCATTAAAAACAAAATATTAAAATTTTATTACTAACATTACATTTAAAACACAATAATAAAATGATACCCAGATGTGAAAACTTAATGTATAGAAAAATAACTAAGAAAATAGATTTGTAAAATAGGAAAGTAAAATATGTTAAACCTTCATTAAATAATATGGTTAAATAATGCAAAAGGAATCCTTTTCTGTACCGATTGTAGCAAATATATAAACATTGGAAAAAGAAGAAGTGTTAAGATTTTAAAATTTTGAGAATTAATCGAAACCTGAAAAAAAAAAGGAAATGGAGCATCCGTTAAACATTAGGAGGTATACATATTTTTTGAAAAACTAAATAATTAGCAGAATAAAAAAGTTAATTGAATAAAACCACCCAGACAATTATTATAATAATTATAAATTAAAGAGATAAAAATTTTTATAACTGAAACGTTTCATATTACGCAGCAATATTTCATATTTATAAACGAAAACAAGTAAAAGAGAATAAACATCAAAGTTCTTTACAGATTCCGCCGCAAAATTTTATAAAAGCTGTGAAAACATGCAATTTAAACTATAAGTTTTCATACATAAAAAAATTTAATTCTCGTTAAATAAAATTTTAAAAAATTTTCTTTAATGTCACAAAATTTTAAGTTTTATTACCTTTCCGCTCTTATTTAACGAGAATCAAAACAAACAAAATTAATTAGAATTCCTATCATACTTCTACTTTAATTTACATTGCTGTTGCCTAAATATTTATATGAAACGAATAAAAATTAATTGCCCAATTTGAAGGCTTATTCCTACTAACGTAAGCTAATTTATTTTAAGGATACAAATTCAGTAATGCTAGAGAGAACCTGATTGGGGATATACATTTGTTTATGAAAAACTCACCAATCTAATTCCCGTTTGCAATTTTTTTACTAGTGGGTCATACTCATAATCAAGCAAAAATTTGGAAAAGGACCACAGGAGAATGTCACTAATTGCGGATCACGATCACGCCCTTCCGGTGACAGAAGAAAGAGAGAAGAAGAATGAAAAGCTGATTGGTTAAAAATATTTTTATGTGAAAACCCACCAATCAAATTCTCTAACATGACCTGAAGTGCGTGAACCGCATTCAGTGAGAATGGACATTCACTGACCACCTCGATCAGTTTGAGGGGCGAACAAGGGAGTACGGTATCGGTCCTCGTTTAATTGTTCCACTGTAAAGTGCCCCACTTGACACAGATAACTGGACTACCAAAACGGGGGAGCGGTCCCCTCTATAGAGGTTAAAAATTGTAATGTCATATCTTCGGATCATCCTCAGGGTTGTTTCCTTTACCGTTACCAATAGCTTATTGGGCAGCTCAAGTGCGACGTAAATAAAGTACTACTACGCTCAACCAATTGACAATTGCACATCAGATCTTACAGACGAGTTAAAGTTTGAGCTTGCCTGAATAATTCTTCTAATCCAAGGGACGCCTATTCTAAAGGTGAGTGAGAATGCTTAGAAACTGTTACCGAAGCGAGAGTGCTCTCCCCTCAGCAGCAAATCAAAATTGTGATAGCATATCTTTGGATCATCCTCAGGGATGTTTCCCAAAGCGTCCCCTATAGTGCATTACGCAGCTCTAGTGTGACGTAAATAAACTACAACAAGCTGCTACAAGTAAAATGCATCGAATTATAACCAAAAAGCAATTAATCAGGAATCGAATTTGAACCACTTTCCTTATAGCTTGCTTGCTCAAGCTGCAGCTTTGCGCAGAATAACAATAAAATTTTCAATTGCTTCTAGTCGCTAATATCAGAATTTAGCGCCCAATTATTGCTAAATAGAATTTATCGACTATCGAATTTCTCCTGTAATCTGTCAGACGAACGAAAATGTTTAAATCTCATCTTCAGTTCTATTCTTGACGACCATTACAAGTTNCATATTGGGCACTTGCACTTCGAGAAGAAGAAGACCAAATATGCCCACACATGTGACCTATGACGTTAGCACCGGCTGATCGTCAATAAACAAAATGGCGTGTCAAAGTTGAGCTAAGTTTTTCCACATAAGTTAGAATGTTAATTAATGTGAAGTTCATTGAATACAGCACCGTATCGCACATTGAATTTATCGAAACATAATTATTTCTTAGGTTTATTATTTGCTTATGTATTTTATTGTAACACGTGATATATTTCTGTTTTGTGAACCTGGCAACTTCGATGTATAATTAGTTTGTTTATGTTCTACATAGCTTCGTGCCTCTCTTTATGTTAAGTAAGAAATATATGGTGAAAGAATTGAAATCATTGTGAAAGAATCTTTACGAAGGATTATCGAATGTATCACTTAAGAGAATAGATGCTTGACGGGGTAAGTTAACGCGAAATAGAATTGAAAGAACAATTAGTAACGTAAGCAAAGCAGCGTTTTAACAACCAATTAGGCTCGAAATACCCATACTACGTCACTTGCAGGTGTCCCATTGCTTCTACTCGCAATATCAGAATTTAGCATCTAATTATTGCTAAATATAATTAATCTATCGACAATCGAATTCCTCCTGAAATCTGTCAGACGAACGAAAATGTTCAAATCTCATCTTCAGTTCTATTCTTGACGACCATTACAAGTTCAAATTTTTCCTAAATGATGCCAAGCATTGCTACTACTACTATAATACCCATCCAATCCTTAATCGAAATTCCAGCATAAACTAACTGACACAAAAGTAAAATAAAAATAATTAAAATATGTTTTTAAAGTAGGCTAAAAGAAGAAAATAATTGTATTTGTATAACCGAAAACTGAAAAATTAAGACCCAAAGTACTTAAGACCGCACAACAGTTTGAAAAACAGAATTCTTTACTATAACATAACTCTATCTTTTGAACCATTCAAATGCACTATTTCAAAACTCTTTTAGCCAAAATATAATGCCTTTTTCAGGGACGTTTACTAAATTCAAATAAATAACTAGTTACAAAAGCGATATCTGGTCGGGTTCTATTTGCTAAACATAAAAGTTCACCGATGATTTCCTGATAATCCAGTCTGATCTATTAAATCATCAGTAGGATTAAAACATCTATCTTCACCTTTAGTTATGGGAGTATTTTTTTTCTTACTATTTTCCAAACCATATTTTTTCATTAAAGTTTCAATGCAATAAGTTAGGCCATTAAAGGTGTAGCAATTTCCAAACTGCAGACCGTGGTGGTAATTGAATTCCATTTTGCTACATGGATTTAAATGGAAAGAACATTTTTGAACTAACTCGTGTGAAACAGATGACCATAGCACCTTTTACTGCTTGTGTCTAATTTCATGTATTGAGTCACAAATCTCTCTGCATTCGTTCCACCATATACTGGAATTGTTTTTTCGGAATCGTTATGTAACTCTGCAATGTATGGGGGGCTTTCGGAAAATATTTTATCATGATGCGGGAGTAGATTACTCACTGAATGTGAAAACTTTCCTTCAATGCATTTCTTAAAAGATTTATCTGCACAATCCATATTCTCATTCGATTCAAACTGCGGAAAGTCACCTCAGGGAACATTAGTTTCAAATTCGAATCAACTTTCAAATCAGTTATAACAGGATATTCTAAATAGACGCAGAAAGAATTGTGAACTTCATAGATGCGACGAGTAAAACAATACTCCAAAAATAATCGCGAAATTTAGTGTCGGAATTTCTGATGTGAGAAATAGCTGGAATAGAAGACTTGTTGCAAGATGCCACCACTAAACTCGATAATGATCTTCCGTTTTGATTTGAAGTTTCTTCTAAAGGACTTATTTTATCTAATTCCTCAATGCTCGCTAGCCACCGGAACTTTCCTTGATTCATCCCTTAAATATTAAAATTGAAACCAGTTGAAAATAAAAAACATCAACCAAAAACTTTTAAATTAAAGCTGATATCTTAAGTAGGGTAAACTAACCAGTGAAGGAACACTTAAGGTTCGCTTGTCTTTTAAAAAATCATATTAATTTCAAAATTCCTAATTTAAGTCAAATGACAGTGTCAACATATTTGTTATTAATTGCAAATTATGTAAATTTTTTTTAGAGAACTTGCATAATATTGTTTTAAAGTTTTGGAGGTTCAAATAACAAGTAGTAAGAAGACCGAGTGTAGGAACAGCTCTTACCAGTGAATGAACACCCAGTAAAGGAACACTTAATTTTGGTCATTTTTTAATGTTCCTTATGAATTTATAAGCCATACAAATATTCAAAAACAAGTCTATTCTTGAAATTATAACATATAAATACTTGGAAAATGCTAACTTTTTTTTGTAATCATGAATTGAAAATTAAAGTGTCAACACACTGTTTATTCACTGGGAAAGCTATGCCCAGTAAAGGAACATGCCTTTTCCCTCACTGGTTGGAAGTTGTTTTTCGTATTTTTAACATACTTTTGATGCGGAACATCACTAAAGGTACAAGAAAATTAAAGTTTATCTTTTATTTTCATTAAGTTAGAAAACAATCCAGTAAAGAAACACTTGTTCCTTCACTGGTTTTTCACCGCTTGGTGATCCAGTGAATAAACACCCCCTTATCTCAGTACTTTATTATGCTATGATGCTTTAAAAAATAAAACGTAACTTCAATAACTATATTTTGAATTCTCTTTTTCACAGTGATAAAAATAAAACTATTACATGCAATTAATTCCACTTCAAACATATAAATACAAACACTCACCTTATAATTTTTTCAAAGAAACAAGGTGTTGCAGAGATAATAACAAATTCAAAAATTTTTCCAGAGAAGTCTATTTGACCAGGTAATCCAAAACATTCCTAGATGACTTCCTATTGTTTGGCAGTAAGCTATTGTGACCAATTAATCTAAAGAAAAACTTTCAAATTCTTATTTTAAATCAATATATATCAATATATAATTTGGCAGTAAGCTATTGTGACCAATTAATTTAAAGAAAAACTTTCAAATTCTTATTTGAAATTAATATATATGAAATGTTCCTTCACTGGGTAGTGTTCCTTCACTGGTTTGTTTGCCCTATAGAATTCATTTATTTAGCTATTTTCTTTCAAATTATTTCCATCTGTACTGTATCCCAACTATATCACTTAAGTTCCGTTGTCCACTCATTTCGTTCCCACTTATGTAAAAAATGTTGATTTCTTTTTTTTTTTATATGTTACAACAAAAATGTCTACATTCGTGCAAAATAAATTACGCCTCTCTGTTTATAAGATCTTAATATGTTCATGTTCTTTTCAAAAATAAACATAAAAAATTTAACTTGTCTTTTATTTGTCTGATTACTTCATTTTATATGAATTCATTGTCATTTCACTTTCATGTAGATTGTCACTTAGCATGATCGGGCATAAAAAATTGCCTTAACANAAAAAAAAAAAAAAAAAAACAAGAAAAAAGCTTTTGTCAGCTCTGTAGTAATTGCGTGAGTATCATTTAGAATTAAGCGAAAAATAACATTTTTCCGAATTCTTGGTGTAGAAAATGCCCTTTTATTAATTAAAGAAAAATGAATGAATATTTTTCTTGTCATTTGAGTCGTTGTTATTCTTTAGAATCGGCTAGTATGCTTAGTTGTCGCTAGTTTATTCTATACTATAAAAAAAGCTAATGCTATTATTAACATTTAATTGAACTAATATACATTTATTTATATTACTTCCTTTTATTCTATTAATATGTTTTTATCAACTTTCTTCCGTGTCTATGAGTGTGGAATCTTGCTATCCA